GCCCGGAGCCCCAGGGAAACTTTCTGGAGCAGGAACGGGGAAGGCCGGGTCCCAGTTGGTTCACCCGGGTAATGTGGGTGGGAGAGGCTCCCCGCAAGCCAGGGCAGCGCTTCTCACCGCTGCGTTACCCGGGCTGTCGCCTGTCCTTCCTGGACAGACCCCAGGCCCTCTCCGCTCCTTGGCCGCCGGGAGGGGCGGTGGGGTAGCCATGTGGGGCAGCGTGCGGTGGCCCTGGCCAGTGTTTCACCTGCCAGACCCTTCAGGCCAGGGGCTGCAAGGGGCAAAGCAGCTGTATGGGGGTGTCACGGCTGCTGCAGGGGGGGCTGGTTGAAGAAACATGATGTTGTCTGTGGATCAGCAAAGACTGGCCACTGTAGCTTCAGAAAAGGCTTCTCCAGTGTCCCGCGGCTTCTCCAGTGGACTGCTGCCTCTGTGGTGATCGGGAGGATGAAGGGATGTGGTTTCAACGGTTTCTGGTGTGTCCCAGAGGGAGGGTAGACTATCTGCTTAAGTTCACAAGACTCTCTACTGATGTAGATCTTGGGTTCGTTTAGAAACAACCCCTCTGTCTATCCTTTATATATTTTCCTTGGTTACTGTGAAATGATTTGATTGACCCAGAGATTAAGACCAAAATGTTGGATCCCTGAGGGAGCCCTGGTGACCCTAAAGCTGGTGTGTGTGTGGGGTGGGCTGTGCTTTCAGTCCAGGCCTTGAAAAGACTTTAAATGTTTCTTGGATAGGGAAAATTATCCTGGCTGTTTGGCTGCTATTTTGGCAGCAGCTGTAACACCAGGCCCTGATAACTAAGCCCTCAATTACGCACTTAACTTCATTCATTGGTGATAACTCAGCTCTGAGTGTGGGCGTAAGTATAGGCACGTTTCTTATAGTAGTTTTTTTTAATGGAACCATTTCAAATTATCACACCCATGGTTGAAATGTAGTGTTTTGTAACACATCTGGTGGAAGGCCCAAAGCTGAGCGTTTTTATCTGTCTGATTTTTATTTTTTCTTCCCCTCCAAGGCGTAGTTCTGAGGCAGTCCCAAGAGCCCAAGGAGCTGTGGGGATATGTGGAAGTTCGCAGTAAGGCACACATGTTCTGGTGGCTCTACTATGCAAATAACCCAACCAAAGACTTCACAGAGTTACCTCTCATCTTGTGGCTGCAGGTGAGGTTTGGTGAAACACACTGAACTGGTAAATCCTTCTGTCTTTGCCTGGTTTGGTCTGATAGATGCCTCGCAGATACAGAAATAGGATTCAAAATTGCCCGATTCTAAGTTACTCACTTTGTGAATGAGGTATTCAGGTTAGGAAGAAGTAATGAAAGTATTCTCTGATGGTGAGAGATCCTTGACTGCTCACTTTCTACCAAGGTAAGTTGTAGAAATAGACATTGTTCTTAACTTTTATACCAAGCAGTGCTTTTTGTGGCACATGTTACAAGTATCACAGGGCCTTTCCTGAACAACTTATAGTCTAAACAATGTTCAGAGAGAGAGAGTATAGAAAATAACTGGAGATTTAGAAAGATTTCTACATGGAAACAAGTAAGAGGGACTGATTGTTTAGTGATTGGTCCCATTCAGTGGCAGTTTGATAAAGGCAGTGGTGTGTGCTCCACGTTCACCTCCAACGCTGCATTTCGGAAGTTAATGTTGAACGTAATCACTTGGTGACTTGGTCTTTTTCTTTCTGGGTTATTTTTATAAAGTGGAGTACACTCACTGTACGTGCTGATGAACTTGCAATCCTCTAGATAGCTAACTTCTGCATTTGGTATTAAGGGGAAGGGTTTTCAAACCACACTTGTGAAAGCATCAGATTAATGAGTTGCATGCTGTGCAAGTGGGGGATTGCTTCTCTGTGTAAAGTCTTGCTTTCAGAAGCAGTGTGTATACACACAATAAAAGGCAGCAAGGAGGAGAGTCTGCTTTGCAAATTAGCATGTAGTGCAAAAGCTGTGTTTTTTTTTTAATTTACACTCTGTCATTCTACCTACTGGCTTGCTTTTATTTTTCTCCTGTCATATCTATACCATGCTGCCTTTTAACTTTTGTCATTTGGTATTTCCCCACAGGGAGGTCCAGGAGCTTCAGGCTGTGGATTTGGGAACTTTGAAGAGATTGGTCCATTAGACAAAGAAATGAAACCAAGAAACACAACCTGGGTATAGTTGAGAGTTCAGCTTTTAATTACTGATTCCAAATGTTTCTTACTTGTGTACACAGATGATTGCTATGGAACAACGCAGAGAACAGTTGTCATTGTTTGATAGAACTGTAATAATTCACCTTGAAATAGCATGGTTAATACATTTGCTTACAGTAATAGTCTTGTTAAAACTGAGGAACAGACCTATTAATTTGATTTGATGGAATATACCAGGGCTTCCATGAATTAGTGAATTGCAAGTGTCTGGGAAACTGAGAGGAGGGAAATTCTAGAAGGATGTCATTTCAGATCTTAGCTTTGCTACATACAGCTGTAGATGTTTTTCTGGATGCCTGGCAACATACAGCCAATGGCTCATCATTACAAGTCCAGTAAGACCTTCAAGAGAAAATGAATTATAGCTGCCTATGTAGGTGGGAGTTTATTCAATGAAATGTATTGGTGCTCTGAGCTACCAATAGTCTAACTACTCTGGAGTTCCCTGGATCATATGGGTGGTCTGCCTTTGGATCACTGGGATTTGTTGGGTGCCTTTCTTGTTGCAGACTGAGCAACTTGAAACACCTTGTGTTGTAACCTCTTTATTTGTGAGCCTTTACTGCTCTGAGCCACACTAGCTACCTGTGTGCTGATCTACTGGTTTTATTTTTACACTTGTGACTGTATAACTATAGCCTTTGCTATAGCAGTTTCACAAAAGCCCAGCAACCTGAAAGAAAAACTCTTATTTTACATTCTGACAGACAAGTTACACCTGTACTATTCTCTCTTTTGGACTTGCACCTAATTTTTCTGCAGGTTCTTTCAGGGCCAAAGATTTGGTGGCTCAGTTAAGCACTTGTGCCATCAAAACAAATGTTTTTCTGGTACTGAACTGAGGTTTCAGTCAAACTTTCTTTCTGCTTATACAGTTGCAGGCAGCCAGTATCTTGTTTGTGGATAATCCTGTGGGCACTGGATTCAGTTATGTGGATGATTGTAGCTTGTTTGCCAAAAACCTTACCACAGTAGTTTCTGATATGATGGTTTTTCTCAGAGAATTCTTCACCTGTAGAACAGAATTCCAGGTAAGTGAATGGTATTTTTTGTTAGAATTGTATTTTTCTTTGCTTTCACACAGATCTCAAAAAGAATTAAGTGAAGAGATTTCCAGACGAGCAGTGTCTGATATTAGGTAGCATGCATTTGGTGGGAGTCAGTGGCTACACTGGGAGTTCAGAAGTTGTATCTTGAATTTGGTGCCAGTTAGATAAGCAGTGGGGTGGGTTACTGTCTGTTGAGTGACTTGAGAAGCATATAGGATCACGGCTGTTTCTAGTTCCAAAATGCTAAAGTGCCTACTTCAAAAATTCCCCTGGTATTTACACCAGGATGTTATGGCAATCTTATCTGCAGCCTAGAATTGGAAAGGGATCCAGTGTTTGATAGTGAGAGGTGACCAGCCAGTGCCTGGGTTCCGTGGGAGGTGGGGAACGGTTGGAGGTATCTTCTGCCTTCTGCCCAACAGACTCATTGTGTCGCTTGTCCCTCTCCAGACCATCCCATTCTACATATTTTCTGAATCTTATGGGGGTAAAATGGCTGCTGGCATTGCTTTAGAGCTGCACGAGGTAAGTAGCTGGAGTTGGTTCACTTTTCACTTTAAAATGTGGTATTCTACAAGTACTGATTTCCTGAAATTCCCTGATACCTTGTCCCTGTTGCCTAATTCAGACTGTTACTTTTTTTCACTTAAAACTGGTTCTAGAGTCATGAATACTTAACTAAAGGTTAATTTTGTTTGTTTTTTCTCTTATTCCCCAAGGCTGTTCAAAAAGGGACCATAAAGTGCAATTTTATGGGGACTGCTTTTGGTGATTCATGGATTTCTCCTTTGGGTATGTTTAAAATCCTCAGACTGTGGATGGTTTGTTGTTGGGGGTTTTTTTGCCTTTTTTTTTTGGCCATTCCATGGGTACATTGAGTCAAAAATGCCGACCCTGCCCTAAGTGAATTAAATATCTAGCTGAGTTGAGTAAATAAAAAATAAGTAGTTCAACATTGCAAGCTGTGATTAAAGAATCTACTTTTAGAATGTGTCCAGGTGATGAAAAGTCAGAGAGCAAATCCAGTGTGTTTGAAGTAAGGTGGTGGTGAAACATCCCTACACATCTTCACAGCCTCTGAGGTGTTTTGGTAAGAGTACTGCACTTAAAATATGGCCACCAAATGATGTACAAGGTTCCAGTTGAGGTTATCCTTTTTGCAAGAAGACCTTGTGCTGAGGAACTGATGTGCTCACAGACCTTGAAGAGATAGGAGACGTGTCTCGTGGGTGGAGGACAAAAAGCCTGTTAAAGGACTCTCGGCCCTTCAGTGGGATTTGCAGGGGCAGGCTTCACAGGTTCTCTGCAACATGGGACAGTATCGAGTAATCTGTCTCCTGTCAGCTGATCCCTGAGACCTTATAAACAAACTTGTTATAAAACAGGTTTGGTTTGTAACATTTTTTTCCCCCTGTAACTTTTTCAGACAGATCTGCTCAGACAATGCCCGTTCATTTGTCAGATCTCCCCCCACATTCTGGCAATGTGCTGCAGAGTTGGGGTGAGAACATTTTGGTAACAACATGTGTGTTGCTTTAAATAAATGTCACTGACTGACATTTAGGAGGTTGATGACACTGCAGTACTTCTGCTGGTTCTCAGGATTTTAAAGAGCCTGCTCTGTGGTACATACCCTTTGGGCTAAACTGAGCTGACAGCACCTTTTTAGTTATTAATTCATCTCCATATATTTTTCTAACAATCATTCTTGGTACAATAAAAGAAAAGTAAAAGAAATTGTGTGTCAAAAGCTTAGATGTTTGAAATCTATTCTGTTTCTTTAGACTCTGTGCTGTCTTGGGCGCCGTATCTTTACAGCACTGTAAGTACCTTAAACTCTTGATCCTCACCTGATCCCCTGTACTGCCATACAAATGGATGCTGATTTTTGAAGTTGGCTCTTAGCCAGAATAAAACTTTGAATGTACAGAGACTGTTAGTGAGAAATGAACGTAAAATTCTAATTAAAGCTCTCCTCTTTTGTTTGTCTTCTAGTCTCTCCTTGATGATAATGGTCTAGCAGAAGTAACTGCTGTTGCCAAAGAAATAATGGATGCAATAAATAAAAATCAGTATGGGCTGGCCACTGAGCTCTGGGGCAAGGCTGAAGGTATCATTGAAGAGGTGAGATCTTTTCTGACCAGCATTAATAACTAACTGGTGCCTGGAGAGGTATGTAACTTCAGGCTGTCTTTTCAGTGAGCACTGGTTTAGCATGAATTCTGCAACTCCCTGACCAGTCATTTTTGGCAGTGTTGGTTTTGGCCCGTGCTGATGTAGAAGAGCTGTTTGGTTGCTGTACACCACTGTGTGGCTGTGACAAGCAGTGGGCAGGGCGACCCACGTGGGCTTGTGCTATTGTATCAAGGTTTCAACCTGGCACATCACTTAAGTAGGTGCTTAATGTTTAGTGTGCCACTAGTCCCTTTGATTTCTGTAGAACCCAGTTTCAACTTAATGAGCTATGTCTCCTTGAAAGCTTTGTTTTGAACACTGAGAACTGCATCCAGCAAGACACAAAGTTCAAGTTAAGCAGAGATCTCTATTTAAAGAGCTACCGTAGGTGCACAGGATGGAAAGGAACCTCAAGCTGTGTCCTGTTCCTACAGGCTACTGCATCTTGTTACTTAGCAAGTTTCAGCTTAAATGATAGGTGATGTTTTGTTCTTGTTTTTCCTGTGGAAGAGTTGCTCCAAAATCTCATTCTTTCTTATGTTTTTGTTTTAGTACAAGTGAGATTCTCACTTCCTCAAACAAAGACAAATCTAGAGCTGCTTCCTTTTATCTCTTTTGTTTGTTTGTTTGTTTGTTTGTTTTGTTGTTTTGGATCTACCAATGCCTTGTGCACAGTTAGTTTCACTTCTTGCTGTTTGGAAGGAACTTGTGGTTTCCATTTTGCCTTTCTCTTCAAGTCTGTTTGTTGTCTTCTAGTTGTGATGTCACTGTCAGGGTGCAGGAACTTCAGTTCTGGAGTTGCTGTTGTGAGCTGATTTCTGACCTACACATCAGAACTTTAAAAATTCAAGAATTTAATAAAGCAAGGCTTCAAGAATCTTTAGTCACTCCTCTAGTGGCAACACTGATTACACTTGCCCTTTGGATGCAGGTACTTGTCCTTCCTCTGCTGTCTGCCTCAGAGCTGCCATTCTGCTGCTCCTGGAACATATTCGGGTGTCAGCAGGGGCATCTATCATCACATCCTTGAGGAAGCATTTGAGATTTTGAAGGTTGTAGATTGGAAGGATGTTGAGCAAGAGGCAGCATCAGGCTTGACTAGACCTAGCAAAAGAGACTATCTGAAAGCATCATCTGGCACTGCAGGCATTACTCTAATGAGCAAGGAGAAGGTGCAGTCACGTGCAGGGTGTCAGGCTTCCTGTAGCTTCACGTCTGTGTCAGAGGGGTCAGTGGCATCCCTGGCACCACCCAGCTGTGAGCAATGCAGGCTGCAGAAATTATTTCCCAACTTTGCAAAGCAAATGGAAAAACTTTGGTTCTACGTTAGTATCTTTCTGATGTGTGGGTGAAGTGACAGGTCACAAGTTCCCTTATTAAGGATTTATTTACCTCTTTTCTCAGAAGAGTCTGTTCTTCATATCTGAGAAGTGTTTTTGTTACAGCATTACTGAAACATCTTGTGTTTTCAGAACACAGACAATGTGAACTTTTATAACATCATGACTAAAGATGTTCCAGAAATGAAATCAAATGAACAAGGAAATCTCCATCTCAGTAAGTTGTATTTAAGTACTTGAGCTTCCAAGTACCTCCAGCTCTGGTAGTGGGAACAGCAATAATTGAGCAGACCCATAACATGCGGCCTTCAGATCCAAAGGATACTGATATTCTCCTGAGCAGAACTTGTTTGCTCTTGCATAAATAGGGATAAATAGGAAGGTGGAACAACCCTTTTATAGATTACACCTCCACCTATGCATCCTGCACAAATTACTCCAAGGAAGTAGTCAGTGTAATTGTGACATAGTTTTATGACCTTTAAGTTACTTCCTGTTAATGTCTTTTGTTTCTCTCTTCAAGCTAGGACACAAAAATGTTATGTAAATCATTAATATTAATAATCTGATTAGACTCTGCTCCATGATGTTTATGCATCAGTGTGAAAAACAAATTTCTTTCAAGCTCTTATGTTGTCTTCAGCGGGGAAGGTGAACAGTGCAGTTATCTCCCAAAAGTAAAGCATTGTAGCTGAAAAAGAATTGGTCTGTTGAGGAGAAGAAATCATATCTGTACCAAGCAATTAGAGGAGAAGCTGGTCTGCTGAAAAAATGCTGTTAGCCAAAAGTAGAAATGGATGGTTGGGTTCTTTCCATGTCATCCCCTGACCTAAATAAGGGTTGACTTCAGTGATGTATAGTAAAAGTAAGTTAGTCTTTCTCTGTGGTGTTGCATTTTCATTAGAAGAGAGTTTGCTGACTGTAACACTGAAAATTATCTGTGCTGGGTAAGTGTCTGAAATGGGGCACTAATCAAAGTGTGGTCTCTTTTTCAGTAAGACTTTACCAACGCCATGTCAGAAACATGAATAAGAACAGCCTAAATGAATTGATGAATGGACCCATCAGGAAGAAGCTAAAAATTATTCCTGACTGTGTGAAATGGGGAGGTACTTTCCTGTCTGCTAGCATGGATCTAATGAGTGCATTGTTGGCATTTACAGTATTGCAGACTGTAGAAAGACACTTTTCTGTAGTAAGCAGTTACATTAAACTGTCATTATCCTTGGGCCTAAGAAGACTTATTCTCAGAAATGAACAAGTAACAGGGCAAGCCCATGGGAGCAGATGTGGTTCTGATTCTGCTGCTTGTATCTATCTTTAGCCAAGCAGTTAAAAATACAGCAGGAGGGAGAAAGAGCCTCTGTCTCAGCAGCTGGTTTCTGTCTTTCCTGCAGTCTTGCTGAAATTCCTGTCAGTTTTTCTCTGCCAGGAGTCTGGTGTCGTGCAATGCTGCATGCTGTGGAAGGGAGGGTGTAAAACAAAGGAAGGCTTAAAGGACTGATGCCAGCTCCCTGTATGCAGATAAGAGGAGCCAAAAGCTACAATACTGTGTGGGAGCATGGCTGCTTTCTGTTTCTCTTTAGTTCCTTAGACTGATCACTGGCTGATGCTTTGGGCTAGAACTCTTTTGGGTTTGTGTTTGTTTTTTTTTTTTTTAGTGCAGCCATGAACTGAATTCTAGAATCCTTGACTAGTTGCTTCTGCCCCAGCTTGGGGATGACATTCTTCATCAGTTAAAATTTCTCTTCTTTCTGGTTCCAACCAGGTCAGTCCAAAGATGTCTTTGAGAACATGGCTGAGGACTTCATGAAACCTGTCATTGATATTGTTGATCAGCTTTTGGCAGCCAATGTCAGTGTTACAGTCTATAATGGGCAGCTGGATCTCATTGTTGACACCATGGGTAAGGGAATTCTTGACCTAGGTTGGGAACAGAACATGTGATGAGTAGAACATGAAGTTGCCAGTAATACTGGTACTGCTGCCCAGATCTCTCCAGTTTTCTCTGCAAATCTCCTGTCAAACTGCCAACACTTAGGTACTACAGTCATAAATGAGCAGCTCTTGGTGTGTTTTGTTTATGTCCCTCTGAGAGAGGCAGTTCCTTTACTTCCATTATACTGTTGGGAAATGGATCTGCAGAATCAATAATTGCTTGTTTCAGTGAAGCCTGTAAGTAGGTAGCTAATAATTCATTTAATCTGACACACGTATGCATGCACACACATACATTCCTAAATTAAGACAGATGAATAAACACATGGAGATTATCCCCTCTTCTACTTCTGTGCCTTGAAGATCCTGTTCTTTGGGTCAAAGGTCATATCATGTGCACAAGGTAGGTCAGCCTTCACTGAGCAGCCTGCAGCAACGACCTGGTGCCAGGTGGGGTGGAAGAAGGGTGCTGGTAAACAGTCAGGGAGGGTGCAGCTGAAGAGTCATCACACCTGCTGCTCAGTAAGGTGTAGACTTCTGCAGGCCTTGGCCACTCAAGGGCTTTGTTTGCCTCTTGCTTGCAAGATGATTCAGTGGCAGTCTGGGAGACAGGCCAAGTGTTGCTGAAATGCCTCGTGCTGCTGGGCTGCAGTGTTCTCTTCCATTCACCTTTTCTTATAGATTGTGCAGACATCTTCCCATGTTGTTAAAGGCTTTATCGTTTGTCTGTCTCTCCCCACTTAGATAGATATTTAGATGCCCTTCTTGAACAACACAGCAATCAATAAATCAGGAAACAGGGTATTGAGGCTGTCAAAATAGATTAGTAGTTAGTGGTGCTCCAGTCTGTCACAGTTTGAGATAAAACTGAGCTGCAGTTAACATGTAAATTCTCTCACTAGTTTAGAGGTAGGCTAAAGCTTTGTTCCCCTTGGTGTCCTGGAGTTGTTTTTTTTGCTGTCTTGACCTCCACCTTCTCTAGCAGGCACCTAAAACCAGAAAACCTTTCCAGGCTCTTCTTGATGAGTGACTGTAAGAAACAGAAGCAGTGTCTCTTCAGATTTTCAGAAGGGGAGCTTGGTCCAGCTGATCCTTCTCCCTGGCAGGACATTCAGGGTGTTTGAGGAGTGAAGCAAAACATGTCAGAATTGCCAGGGCTGCAGAGCCTCAAAGAGGGCACATGTTCAACTTGTGCAATCCTAAGTCCATTTCACATGACATCTTCACTGTTTGCTTTTTTCTTTCTCACTCCACTGCCTTGTTTCAGCTTATGCTGAACACAGCCTTGGTCATTTTCCTGGGCACAGAAGAGTTATTTTTAGAATGTGAGCACATGGAGACAGTGCAGTAACAGTGCTGTGTTGTTATCTATTGCAGTGGGCATCCAGCTGAACTGGGATGCCCAAGTTGCTATGTCATCACTGTTAATCAAATGTATCTCTTATCTCTTAATAGGCCAGGAGGCATGGATCCGGAAACTGAAATGGCCTAATTTGGCCCAGTTTAGCCAGCAAAGGTGGAAGCCCCTCTATGTGTCTCCAGAATGCACTGAGACAGCTGCTTTCTACAAGGCCTATCAGAACTTCGCTTTCTTCTGGATTCTTAAGGCTGGGCACATGGTAAATAATCTGCTTCTCAGGGCAGGGCATTTTCAGCTAGGAAACTGATGATGCGTAAATGCTCTGCTTCCATGTAGCAGCTGCTTACCATGTGCTCTCCTCTCTGTGCAGGTACCATCTGATCAAGGAGAGATGGCACTGAAAATGGTCCGGATGGTGACCCAGCAGCAGCACTGAGAAGGGGAGGCCAGCTGGAATGGCTTCCTGGTCAGCATCAGGGCTCTTGCAGAATGGGAGTCCAGAGTAACAAGCTGCAGGAGGAACAACAGCCCTTTGGACACACAGCCTCTCTGATCTTGCTGATAAGCATTTACAGAAAGGCTGTTTTTTTTCCTTGAATGAGTTGTTGCTTTTGAATTTGTAAGCTGTGATTTGCTGTTTAAACATTGTTCATAATGACCCTTCCAGAGGGAAGTCCACTGCCATAAACAATGAGCTCTAAGCCTTTGCCTTTGACTCGGAAGGATTTTGTGCTTTTGTAAGAAGCTGCCCTTCCCTGAGTGCTCTCTTGTCTGTTCACACATCAAGACTAAAATGGGTTTGCATCCTGATAGATTTACTCTGGTTTACCCTCAGAGTTAACCTGTCCCGTGAGACTGTGGAACGTTCCTTCTTTTGTCCTTGTTCCTTCCTTTGTCCTCGGGCCTCTGCTTGAGTCACCTGGCTGATTTACAAGCTGAAGACTTGGAGGTGCCAGATAGAGGACCTGCTCTAGAAGAATTACAGTATATCTCCTCATGCTGAGGTGCCTGATTCAGGATCTAAGATTCTTGAGACTTCCTATGATATGGAGAGAGAAAAACTCCTCCCCAGAGGAGGATTTAACCTTTTACATCTGACCATTTGTTTCTTGGTTTCATTCTCTTTAACAGCCATTACTCAGACTTTGCCTTTAGCCATAACATCCACCAGGAATTCATGCTTTCTTCTGTGCTAAGCAGGAGCCCTATTAATAACCTCTTCATGCACAGAACAGAGTCCTAATGAACAGAAGCCTCTGAAAACCTGAGCTTAGCCTGAAGAGTAGAAAGGAGAGTATTACCTGAGCAATAATAACATAATTCTGAAAGATAATAGCAAAGAAGGATATATAAGGTTAGAACCAGTGTTGTGATCCATATTTTTCTAGAGCTTTTTTGAAGTCTTGCAGAGACTTTTTATTTTGAAACTTTTTTTTTTTTTTAATACACCATCAAGAGGAGACTTGGTCAGACATCATTTGACTTCTGAGATAGAGCACAAAGTGAACATTTTTTATTGGTGTCTGATAGGAAGCACAACAGCTTGTTCCAGCTGTCAGAATCCAAAATAAATCGCATCTTTTCTGGTTTGGGCTTTCCAGTATAAAGCCCCTGCCAATGGGAGCAGATTCAGTCACACTTGAGAGGGAAGGGTCCAGGTCTGTGCTGGCTCCTGTGAGTGCCTTGCATGACAAGGACGTGCACTGGGGACCACAGCCCTTATCTTCTCCACAAAATGCACTCTTTGGACCATGAAGGGGAACCTAGAGTGGCTGGGCAGGATCAAACCAGCACTTGTTTCTATTCTTTCGTGTTCACAGTTAGTGAAGTTGACTAAGAAGAGGGTCCCAAAGGTGTGTACATCTGCATGTCTACATTCTTGGAATATTTTAAAATATTTTAATTCACCAAGCAAATAAGTATGTCTGAGCCTGGGCAATTTCAGTGGTCTGGTAGTCCTGAATCCTGCTATATACAATACTTTGCATTGTGCCTGAACAACGAATACTATAGGGCTTGATAGAAGGATGAGAATCTCCAGAAAGCAGCTTTTACTGCTGTTCTTACACTATCAAATGGGATATTCATTCACAGTGCTTAGAGTCTGTGCTCAAAGATAGCCCTGAGACATCTATTTCTTGTCCTGCTTTGCTTTGGCTTCTGCAGGTATTTCCGTTGGCAAAGAGACAGCTTATGAGGAAAAAGATGATATCAAGAAGGTTGGTGGTAATTTGTTGATTTGGAGGCTATGCCCAATCTATACATGAGAATAAAAGTACTTGCTCATGGAGACAGGCTCTTAATAGTGTCTAAGTGGAAACAACAAAAAAGCAGCAGTCCTTTAAAATCCAGGAAGATTCCTTCCATTTATTTCACTGGAAGCTTTGTAACTGGTACATCACAGCTTGAGACCATCACAAAGGTAGGTCAGCTGTAACAAACGGTTAGCTTTGAAAGGAGTTCAGGTCCTGCTGTGTATCTGATCAGCGGTGGCAACCTGTGTCCATCCTGATTTCATGCAGTAACCTGTTTCCAGATAAGGGCTGTCACTTGGCAAATCCATTAGAATGAGGCATTCTAAATATTAGTAAGACTTTTAAAGATGCTGGACCAGTCAAAAGAAAACAGCCTAATGTTTATACTTCATCCTGTAGAGACTTTGACTGCATAGGTAACTGGAGAGCCACTGGCTTATTTTGCTCACAATCATTTGAAGGTAGTTTTCATAGAAACAAATCCAACTGTTAAGAATCAATAATTCAGCATTGCTTCTTCAGCATGGGCAATTCTGACTTTCTGTAACTCCCTTTTCTAAGCCAGAGAAGGAAAGCGAAACGTTATCTGCTGTGTGATAAATGAGTGTCTTTGTCTTTTGCTTTTCTATTTTTCTACATCTGGGAGGATAAAATGAGGAAGGGTCACTCGATGCATCCACTGTGCCTTAAACCAGTGTGTACCAGTTGTCATGGTCACTGGTGCATGCAGGATACAGGACAGATGAACCTTTTGGTCTGGCATTTACAGCTGTTCCTGCGCAACAGAGGTTGAGACTGTTGTGGACAGATAAACACAGCAGGGAAAAGATATGCCCCGTTTGCCACACAGGGATATCTGTGCAAGCACAATATTTGTGTCTAAAGTAACTAATCTGTTCATATTTTTACTGTAGGAAGAGTGAATCATAAACTATTTCTAAAGGGAATTTGGCACATAATACTCATCCATTTTATGTCTTTCAATTTGAGGCAGGACAGTGGGCATGTAGATGGATGTTGGCTTTTTTTTTCAGAGAATGAACACTCTTAAATATTGCAGCATCTGCTTATCTTGAGATTCAAAGCTGAAACAAAAGAACATCTCTGTACCAAGGCAAGATGGAAATCTTGGAGCACTTCTTCATTGTCATGTCAGGTCTGTTACCCCACGAACACTCTGCTGTATGGCAGCACAATCTGTGTGTGTCACTTCTGGTCTCTGGGGTGCATTTGTATTCTTCCAGAAGAGATTCAGGAAAGGAGAGGTAATTTATCTGACCCACAGACAGTGATGAAGGGATAGTAAGAATTTGAATAGAACACTGTTCACCCTTGCAAGGTTGCTCTGAAAAGTGTTTTTGGTATTTCCTATATAATAGATTTGGCAGTTAAAGAGTAGCTCTGGCTCTTGCAGAGGAACTAATGTACCATTCTGGTCACTGTTTGGAGGGGATTTTTATTTTTTCTCACTGTGACTGGTGCTGAGATAGTACAGAGCTATGCTGGACACATCTGCAGGATGGGGCAAACACTGCAAACAAATGGCCCAAGGCAGTGGTTTTCAGCCTATTTCCATTCACAAACCCCTCACCTAAAAGGGGTTTCCCTTTCCAAGGAAAGCAAAGCACCCTTAAAATTTCATATATTGACCATTACTTTTCACTTGTGTCTGATAAGTAATGCAATTCAGTGGCTAGCATCAGCAGAGTATTTGCAGAAGTGGTGCACTGACTATACCCATGGTCGGAAACGGATGGGAATATTGTTGAGCCATGTTCCACAGGGGATCTGAGAATTTCCAGCCTTGGTCTGAAATAGCCCTGAATGGTTAGTCTTCAGGACACACTCGAGCATACTTTGATGCCTTCCCCCCTCCAACCTACTACAGGTTGAAAAAGAAAGCACTAAAAAGGCATGGCATTATGCCTACTTACCATAGCTGGCTGCTGGTAGTGAGCTCCCACAAACTGGAAAGCAAGAGATAAGACTATGAAAGACTTTTGTTCTATTACAGGGACCTCTGGAACAGTGAGCTAGACAATAACCCCTCCTTGACCATTGTTCCAGGATGGGGCAAACACTGCAAACAATCTGCCTTGAGATTAGTGCATCAGGCCTCATTTTGGAAAGGGTCAGAAAAGGGCCTTTTCTCTTAAGTACTTTTGTGGTCCAGTTTGTGTGCTGTTTGTTCTGTGCCTACAGTACTGCAGGGAGGAGGTTGGGGTGTCTCAGAAGACCAAAACCATCCAGATGATATCCAGTTCCAGCACGTCTCACTGTGGCTCTGCTGTTTAGTCCTTCCATCTAATGTATTGCATGTGAATCCACAGTACTCTTGTGGTAAAGGCAGGGGTTTAGGATGTGGAACTTGCTCATCCAAAACATTCACTAGGATGTCATGTAGGCAAAGGCAACTACACTGTCACAGGGGACTGGAACAAATAAGGCCAGAGAGACTGTACAGCAGGGAGGCAAAAATCACACTTTTGCTGAAGCTATACTCACATCCAGGAGCTCATTTCTTTTCTCCACTAAAATCCAGCTCATTTCTCCACTACTTTTTATCCTCAGTCTCAATACCAACATCTGTAGGTAGATACTGTGATGAATAGGGCTGTATCAGTTTTAAAGTCCTGTGAATCATCTAAACATAGGAGGCAGCTGGAATAATTCCATCTGCAAGCTGCAGTTGGTAGATTTGATAATGCCTACCACAATTTTTGAAAGCAATTATAAAGGTTACTAGGACCAACCTAGTTAATCTGCTTTTTAATTGCTTCTCTGTTCCTAAAATGTGCTTTTCAGGACTGTTATAGAAGCAAGCTGGTTGCAGTGTGTCTTTGAACGGGTCAGACTGCGCATCCCAATGAGCCCCACAGCCAATCTGGTCCATTGATGGTCACAGCAGTCATGATGCCACACCTACATTCTCTTGTGTAAATATTTTTGTTCTTTATCTCCCATTAGCCAGCCAGCTTGGACCCATCTCGCACAATCCGTTTTGAGACACAACAAGTAATCACTGGTTGGCTTTAGCATCTGTATGGCATTTCATGTTCTAATTTTATTATTCTGTCCCACATCTTGTTACTAAATACAGCAATATCTGGGAACCACATTCCTATAGTCAGCTGTAATAAAACTGCAGATGGAATGTATTTATTCTGATGTCGTGTAGTCCATCTTGCATAGGACAAAATAAGAAAAATGTTAAACTTTTTTTAAGCAGTAAGGGATAACTTACTGAACAGTTTGTTAGCTTAAAGAAAATACACTGGCTAGTGTATCCTCAATCTTTAACAGCTGCCAGATGATTTGGTAGATGATTTTTTATTTTTAATGAATTAGGGAGGGGAAAGCCCCAGATTCTTGAAGGGAAAGACTTAGGTCTGTTAATGTTTCCTTGGTAGAGGCAGCGGAGTGTTTGT